ATGGACAAACCAGCTTGCTTTAAAAATACAACCCACAAGGCTTTAGCTTTTGAATAGATTCTCCAGTCAAAACACAAACACATTTAGAAGCAGATTCTGATACTCAGAGTCAATTGTCATCTAATATCACTGAAGCAAAAAGCTGATGAATAAAATGTTAGAGTGTAAACAAGGTAATCTGGCCCTGGATGTGTATTGAATCCTGATCCAGAGCTCCTAGGAGTGAAGCATATCATGGGAAGAAACTGTTCTGGGGTTAGGTGAGAATTAGTCTTGCTTTTAAATTCAGTTCATAGAATCATAGAACCATCAGGGTTGGAGGAAACCTCTAAGATCATCGAGTTCAACTCTTAACCTGTCACTGCTGGAACCCCCAGACCCTAAACCAGATCCTCCAGGGATGTATCCTCCAGTTACTCAGAAATGTCTTCACTCCATCCAATGTGATTTTTATTAATTAAAGGTAGATCAACACAGAGTTCTCATATGCAGAGGAGAATTATCTCCCAGATTTAAAAATACTTCTATTTTACTTCAGGAATGTTCACTCCACCTATGGGAAACCTCAAAGTATCACACCTTAGAATTTCTTGCCAATGAACCACAAAGAATCCAAAGGTTCACTTTTGATCCTGCTGAGACATCTTAGCACCACTCTAGCTGGATTAATTCACACTTCCATGCAAAGAGCTATAAAGTGAGGCCCAGCGGTGCAGAATCATCGAAACAAAAGTCATGTGTTTTATTCTGACACTTCTTGGAGAAGCCTAATCACCTGATGTGCTCCCAGTGGTCAGCAAAGTGACAGGAGGTGTCTCCAAAAGATGATTTCTCTCAGGTCTGGATTGCCATGTAGAGGTTCAAGTGGCACCTCCATCAGCTCCACTGCTGACACAGACACCTACACTGATTTTCATTGGGCATCAGGATGTTAGGAATAATTTCTTCCCTGTTGTGGTGTTCAGCACTGGGATATTGCCCAGGGAGGTGGTGCAGTCACCATCCCTGGAGGTGTTTCAGGGGTGTCTGATGTGGCACTGGAGGATCTGGGTTAGGGTTTGGGGGTTCCAGCAGTGACAGGTTCATGGTTGGACTCAATGATCTTAGAGCTCTCCAACATTGATGGTTCTATAGTTCTTTGAAACTGGTTGAGATGATCCAGGTCAGCACAAGTTTTAACCCTGTGTGTTGTCACTTTTTGCTGTCCTGCAAAGCCAGTTGACCTTTCCTCTCTCTTTCTCTTCCAGCATCTGCCAGTATGTACGTCCCGACCGTCTGCAACGGGAGGGAAGTTCTGGACTCCACCACTTCGTCTCTGTGATTGTGATTGCAGTTCAGTTCTTGAGTTTTTAGACTGTTAGGCAAAACTTTGCACATGTTGTGCACCCCAGAAACCACCAGAGGAAAAAAAAACCCACAAGAAACCCAAGCAAAACTAGTACCTTTTTTTAGAAACAGTGTAATAAATTATTTTTGAGGATTGTACAGTATATAGTGACGTTCTGGAACTTTTTAGACTGATTTTAGCCCTTCTGTTGTTAACAGTTCATAAGGGACATGTAAATAACCATGGTTCACAATGTGCATAGTCCTGCAGTAAGGGAGTGGTTTGTTGCAAGCACAGTTGCAATGTTAGGTGACTTCTTTCCTACAGATTTCTTTTGTAGCTCCTTGTTGTACTTAACTTAGACTGCATTTCTATGTTGTATATTCCAGTTACCTGCCATGTAACAGGTTGGTTTTCTCAGCACAAAACAGCAGTATTAATGTAAAGGCACCAGTAATAAAAAGGTAAAAGTTTTCAGCATGGTTTCATTTTTTGTCTCTTTCTCTCTCAAGGGTTTTTCTAGACAGGAGGAGAGGTAAAAAGGATGACAAGTCTGCAGTGGATGTGTGCACAGGTATCTGTGTGTGTGTCTGAGCCTGTGCTGGGAAACCCCCAACATCTGGGATGTGCTTGTGATTAATACTTTGTCAGGGGCAAATAGAAATTCCCTCTCCTTAAAAATAAATGTACATCCTTAAAGACTCAGAGAAACATCAGGGTTGGAGGAGATCTCTAAGATCATTAATTCCAACCATGAACTTGTCACTGCTGGAACCCCCAAACCCTAACCCAGATCCTCCAGTGCCACATCAGACACCTCTGAAACACCTCCAGGGATGGTGACTGCACCACCTCCCTGGGCAATATCCCAGGGCCTGACAAAAAAAGCATCTCAAGTGTTCTTTCTGTTACTAAAATATAGGGGAATATCCAAAAGTGAAAATCATAGAATCACAGAATTTTAGGGGTTGGAATGGAGCTTAGAGATCATCTAGTCCCAATCCCTGCCCTGGGCAGGGACACCTCCCACTAAGGTGTCTAATTGCATCTCAATTAGCTACAAACAAAATAGAATTGCTCACTGGTTCACTCATTTCACAGGACTCATTCCTGTCCTGCACAACAGATATTGGTAGAACATGAAAACAAAGAGATTTTAGATTAGGTTGGAAGAAAAATCTGTCAGAAAATTATCCAAGACTGTTTTATATCTGCAGCCAAATCAAAATTGGTTCAGTTTGTCTGCACCAACACTGCTGTGAGGGGGAATTGGAGTCCTACAGAACCAGGCCAAAAACAAGTCAGAAAAAGAGAAATCCAGGAGACATTTACACATTTCTGGGGTGACCTTTACGTTCACAGCAAATGCTTCAAGACACACACACACACACCAGCACTTAGTAAACAGCAAAACACCTTCAAAGTCTGATTTTCATAACTGCACTCTTCAATCTGCCTCACTCTACTGGAACAAGCTGAAATCCTCCCTTCTGCCAGGTCCAAAAAGTCATTAAGGAAACAAACACAGCTTTGATTAATGTGTCTGAGAGTATTTACCTAAGGGCTTGTTCCCGTTGATCTCATTCCAGCTGAGGTCAATAGCAAAATTCTCAGTGACTTCAAAGGCAACACCACCGAGGCTTGAAAGTCAACCACTCTAGAAACACAGTGCTGGATGTCCATCTTCTCTGGAGCCAGTTCACCTGCACTCACAGATGTTTAGACATGGTGCTGGAAAGGTACAAGTCCTTAGGGCTGAACTGGCAAAGGAAGCATCTGTTCTTTGGATTGCAAAAATGAAAGATGCAGAGTCTTAAAATTCCTACTCATAGAGAGATGTATTTTTTCTAAGCATTCATGTGTCCACCAGCAAAGAATTCTTGATGCTCTCCACTCTGCTCTGTGAGACCCACCTGGAATCCTGCACACAGCTCTGGGGCCTCAGCCTGAGAAGGACATGGAACTGTTGGAGCAAGTGCAGAGGAGGCCACAGAGCTGCTCAGAGCACTGGAGCATCTCCCTGTGAGCACAGGCTGAGGGAGTTGGGGCTGTTGAGCCTGGAGAAGAGAAGGTTGTGTGGAGAGCTCAGAGCACCTTGCAGGAGCTGAAGGGGCTCCAGGGAAGCTGCAGAGGGATCTGTGTTAGGAGCTGCAGGGACAGCACAAGGGGCAATGGGCACAATTGAGGTTAGATCTTAGGCAGAAGTTTTCCCTGTTCTGGTGGTGAGACCCTGTCCCAGGGTGCCCAGGGAGGCTGTGGCTGCCCCAACCCTGGCAGTGTTCACAGCCAGGTTGGATGAGCCTTGAGCAACCTGCTCTGGTGGGAGGTGTCCCTGCTCATTGAAGGGGGATTGGAACTAGAAGATCTTTAAGGTCTCTTCCAGCCCAATCATTCTGGGGTTCTATGACCACTCCCTCTTACATTACCTTGAACAGATGTTCAAGTCCTTCCTGCTCCATGGTATGGAGCAACCAGCAGCATTCCTTGCTGAGGAGGAGATGTCATCCCCACTGGTGTGTCAGGAACAATTGTAGCTGCTCCAACTCTCACACTGAAGCTTTGTGTTGGCCACTGCTGGAGAAGAGTCAACAACCCAAACGGTGACAACTGCTGCTAGCTGAGCATCATTAAACATCTTGATTATATGGACACCTCTGGATCTGGCAGAACAATCAAACCCCAAACTGCAAACTTTCCCCTTTGCTAACAACCCCAGAACCAATTTTTCAAGAGCAAATAGTCAAATCCTTTCTTTGAACAGAGAAGACAGATCCTTGAAGCTACTCAATAACTTCCCACTGTGGCTCTAAGGCACTTAATTATCCCCAAACCTTAATCAATCATATTATATATTGCAATCATCAACCAACATAAGCAGAGCCAAGTCTGAATCCATTCTGTGTGCATTTCCCCCCTAGCAAGGGCTGTCAAAGCTGAGACAATAACAATTTGGCTAATTTGCCAATAATTTATGCTGAGAAGCCACTAAAATGTACTTAATCCTCAAAGAGACTGAGTCGTTTTACTCCAGATCTCCAAGCAAAGATGCAAATGCAGCAATAAAATGCATTCCCATTCAATCAAGTGAACACAGAACAGACTGATTCACATTGGTTTATGGCACCAAATAGCAGATTCTGATGTGATTCCATGGGGGAGGAAAGGGGGAGGTTCCTGTAAGTATCTTTTGGCAGAGAACAAGAAGAGGTCACAGACAGCTGATTTCTTAATCAAGTGTTGGAGGCCTCCAAAATTTGTCTCTTATGGGAACACAGAAAGTTCCCCTCTCTACTACATCTTTAGCAGAAAGGAAAGAACAGCAGAAGTAGCTAAAATCACACAGAAGTAGCTAAAATCTGTCAGTTTAAACCTGCTTAATTGTTAGAAAATGCAATTTCCTTATTCTAAGGTAAGTAAAGCCTCCAGTATAGGTTTGCATCCCACTGTGTCAGCACTGCAGCAGATAAGCTGCTAGATTGCCTGGGACAGAGTTCAACAAGCCATTTGGAAGCAAAGCTGAGAATAGTCATACAGCAAAGTCTGTCAGAGGTGTCCAAAAAATTCCACTCTGTTTTATTTGGAAAATAAAAGGAGAAGAGAAAGGAACCAAATTATTCCTCTGTGGTATTAAGTCAAAGCAAATATAGTTCATCAAAATTCAGGTGTTTTGACAGTACAGGGCTGTGGGTCCAGGCATGGAAAAAGGAATCAGAAAATCAATGAATTTTAGGGGTTGGAATGTGTCAGAGGTGTCCAAAAAATTCCACTCTGTTTTATTTGGAAAATAAAAGGAGAAGAGAAAGGAACCAAATTATTCCTCTGTGGTATTAAGTCAAAGCAAATATAGTTCATCAAAATTCAGGTGTTTTGACAGTACAGGGCTGTGGGTCCAGGCATGGAAAAAGGAATCAGAAAATCAATGAATTTTAGGGGTTGGAATGGAGCTCAGAGATGATATGATCCCAAGCCCTGCCCTGGGCAGGGACACCTCCCACCAGAGCAGGTTGCTCAAGGC